TCACAACTGTACCAGAAATGTTCCACGACTGTTTGTGATAAACATTGGTGCTGAGGGTTGGCTGGGAGCATGGTGCTGGGGGTTGGCTGGAGCATGATGCTGGGGTTGGCTGGGAGCATGGTGCTGGGGGTTGGCTGGAGCATGATGCTGGGGGTTGGCTGGGAGCATGGTGCTGGGGGTTGGCTGGGAGCATGGTGCTGGGGGTTGGCTGGAGCATGATGCTGGGGGTTGGCTGGGAGCATGGTGCTGGGGTTGGCTGGAGCATGATGCTGGGGGTTGGCTGGAGCATGGTGCTGGGGGTTGGCTGGGAGCATGGTGCTCGGGGTTGGCTGGAGCATGATGCTGGGGGTTGGCAGGAGCATGGTGCTGGGGGTTGGCTGGAGCATGGTGCTGGGGTTGGCTGGAGCGTGGTGCTGGGGTTGGCAGGAGCATGGTGCTGGGGGTTGGCAGGAGCATGGTGCTGGGGTTGGCTGGAGCATGGTGCTGGGGGTTGGCAGGAGCATGGTGCTGGGGTTGGCTGGAGCATGGTGCTGTGGTTGGCTGGAGCATGGTGCTGGGGTTGGCAGGAGCATGGTGCTGGGGGTTGGCTGGAGCATGGGGCTGGGGGTTGGCAGAAGCATGGTGCTGGGGTTGGCAGAAGCATGGTGCTGGGGTTGGCAGGAGCATAGTGCTGGGGGTTGGCTGGAGCATGGTGCTGGGGGTTGGCTGGAGCATGGTGCTGGGGGTTGGCTGGAGCATGGGGCTGGGGTTGGCAGGAGCATGGGGCTGGGGTTGGCTGGAGCATGGTGCTGGGGGTTGGCTGGAGCATGGTGCTGGGGGTTGGCTGGAGCATGGGGCTGGGGGTTGGCTGGAGTATGGTGCTGGGGGTTGGCTGGAGCATGGGGCTGGGGGTTGGCTGGAGCATGGTGCTGGGGGTTGACTGGATCATGGTGCTGGGGGTTGGCTGGAGCATGGGGCTGGGGGTTGGCTGGAGCATGGTGCTAGGGTTGGCTGGAGCATGGTGCTGGGGGTTGGCTGGAGCATGGGGCTGGGGGTTGGCTGGAGCATGGTGCTGGGGGTTGGCAGGAGCATGGTGCTGGGGTTACCAAGAAGCTGGTGTCATGAAGCTGGTGTCATGAAGCTGGTGTCATGAGGCAGGTGTCATGAGGCTGGTGTCATGAAGCTGGTGTCATGAAGCTGGTGTCATGAGGCAGGTGTCATGAGGCAGGTGTCATGAGGCTGGTGTCATGAAGCTGGTGTCATGAGGCAGGTGTCATGAGGCAGGTGTCATGAGGCAGGTGTCATGAGGCAGGTGTCATGAGGCAGGTGTCATGAGGCAGGTGTCATGAGGCTGGTGTCATGAGGCAGGTGTCATGAGGCAGGTGTCATGAGGCTGGTGTCATGAGGCAGGTGTCATGAGGCAGGAGATGACTCACACAGGTGGCCAAGATGCTCCAGGAAGCACATACAAAAATAAAGTAATTTCCCCTCAGCCTTCGTGTGGTCCGCCGGTGGAAGGAGCTTACAGGTGTGAAATATTAAAATATATAATAGTTTTCTATTGACCTTGAGGAAAGGACAGGACTTGAGAAAGCTTCCGGTGCTGTGGGAGCGACTGTTTTATGCTGCTATTGGTAAAGTAGGGCGATGATAAAATATTTGTTAGTTCTCCCTCAGATTATTGAATATTTCATATTACTAAAATCATTTTTATTTAATGTTTAGTGTTAAAATATATATAACTAGGTATAGCTGGCAGGCCGGGCCAAAATCAGTCGTGTTTTGTGTATGTGACGATGGCACGTTGTTCCGTCTTGAATTCTGGCCACACTGACCAGCCTATGTCAGTCCCATATATCAGACCATTCACCCTGCAAATTGAGTGTGGCTATCCTCCATCCTTGGACAGACAGACATTCTCATAGCTGTAGATATATATGCACGCTAAATGGGCTATGGAGTGTGGTCGGGTCGACCCCACTCAATATCTTCGTGTATCTCTGACAGACATTCTTATTTATATAGATATATGTATACAAATTAGTTGGAGTACCTGGTAGTGCCTGGGGACGCTGCCTGAACATGTTTGGTACATGTGATTGCTTAAGTGACTGAATATGCTCCTCAGGAGGATGTGTGCGGAGGGTGAGGCGGGAGTATAGAGGCAGAGGACTCGAGGTGTTGATGTCATGAACCTATCTTGGCTTATTGTGGGAAATGAATGAGTTCCAAGTGTTGTCATAGCCGGAGGAAGGGGTGTGTGTTGTAGAGATAAGCTCCCACAGCCTGTAAAGTGCCCCCTGATGGCGTGCGTCTCAAATAGCCTCTGACAACCAAGTCCGGCTCCTGGCCTGCACGTGTGGCTTAGCCTCAATAAGCCCGGCGGAACTGCTTCTAACAACAGGAGAAGGGTGAAGGCGGGCCTCTGGCGCCTTAAAACCAGTTGCTTCGGGCAGATTGAACTCGTCAGCCTGGTATGGCAGCTCATCTAGGGAAAGGAAAACCCCGAATTCAAGCCTCTGCTGTCTTGTGGCCAGACCCACTCATGAGGAAAGGCTTCGGGAGTCAACCCCGAGGAAAAATCCGAAGTCGGAGTCCCTAAGGCAGTTTGCAGCTGCTTACAGCTCCATTCTAGCAACTTCTGCGACGACACTGGCACCAAGCGTATCGGCGCCTGCCCTTCCCTTGGACCACATCGGTGACGTGAAGGGCGTGGATCTGCTGCATGGGCAACAGCTGGTCCTCCATAACTATTGCCCAGGCCTGTGCCCTGGAGAGGACATTCATTTTTTTTACTTCACAACCGCAGCAGACGTTGTATCCAGCTAGACACACAGGGCACAACTCCATAACCCCACGGGATTGACGGGTGTCTTCTGCATGATAGGTAGAGTTCTTTTGACAATTCTACTGACATCAGTGGGAAATGTTCAATTGCTATTAGGCTCATGGGCTTCCTTATGGCACTGTGCCACACTGCATTCAGTGTGTGTTATATGCAAGCTGATTTGAACAAGTTCATGAGGTGGTTCTGCTTGGTAATCTTATGATGATGTAGAGAAATAAGTGATTAACACAGAGATTAATTATATTGGCGAGTAAAAAAGATGTGTATGTGGCTCCTAGTATGGTGAGAATGGTGTTAGTCGTGCACCTCTTCCCGTCACCCTTCACTATCCCCCTTAAACAATCACCATCACTCTTCACTATCCCCCCCCCCTACACCATCACCATAACCCTTCCCTTACATTAATTTCACTTGGTAATTTGCTCAGTAGTTTCCTGGGGTTGCTCAATTAATCACAAACACCTCGTTAAGCTGTTAAACCTTAGTTAACAATTACGAAAAACATTTGTTACAATTAAAAAACTTTTTTTGTTGAAAATTAATTACCCTCGCTTTCTCTCTTTTCTTTTTCTCCATCTTTAACTTTCTCTTTTTTCTCGTTCTTTTTTATCTCTCTCTTTCTCTTTCGTTTTTTTCGCTCGTTCTCGCCATATATAAATAGCACTTCATGATAACTAGAAAATGACAGATAATTCACCATGATGTAATCTTTACTAAAGACTTGAAGAACATTATTTCACAAGTTCTTGTTATAAATAAAGTTCTAGAAGAGTTCTGCTGATGCAGACAAGGAACATGATGCCTACTTGAAGGACGCTCTAAAAAGAACGTTCTCGATGAAGAACATCCGCTGAAGAACAACATCTATCTGCTGGGCGAACATCTTCATTGTGGTGCTTTTTATGAAGATTTTGTGATGTTTTGGTAATTTGAAATGTCTGAGAGTGGAGTGGTCTGAGGAGGGTGAAGAAACTCTTCAATCACGTGGGAAGATTTACCATTTAATATTGGTGCGAATTGATCACGTATTCTCCGTATATTTAAACTTTAACCATCACTCAATCAATCATCATGCGACTGACAGGGATGAAAACAGAATTAAGCCATCGGGAATTGAAGCGCCAGTAGTATGGAAAGGAAAAAAAAATTAACGAACATTATTTTTACAATTAGCAATACTATTCCCACTGCTTTTACTGTCACTAATACTTCAACACTTCTACTGTCGTGCATTACAGAACACTTCTGGTAAATAACTACCAGACACAAACTACTGCGGCCTCCCGCGATTACAACTGCTTTCACAACTCTTGCTAAAACTCCTAAAACTGATACTATTAACTACCTATTAATGCTGTTTATACTACCACCACCTCTAATATATCCTGTCCTACTGATGCATTATCTTCCACTACTATATTACCTCACATGCTATATACGCGACTTAGCCTAATAAAATTTCTTTAATACCATTAATTTCCGACAAATATCACGGAGCGGCTAGACACCAACCTCAACAGTCAGCTTGCTTTGCTAGACGACGGTACCTCATCAAAAAGGAGAATTTTCGATAAAATAAAAATTTAAGAAATTCTATAAAAGTTTGAAATAAAGTTCTCTCCTTGAGTACGGGTCTTTAGAGAGCACTCAGATTATCGCTGAAGAAACCCCCTGGTTACACTCGGTTGATTGATTGGCTCAAGCCGTCCATCTCAGTTCTAATAGGTTGGGTATTTCATGTTATTGTGACTAACGTTCACATTTTCTAGACATCGGACTCGATAAGTAAGGTGGGTTGCTTGGGTTTGTCCGTTTCTGGATTGGCAAAATGATTGGATTTTTTTACAGAGCGCCTAGTCAACAGAACGGATGATGGACCGAAACGTGAAGCCCAGTTCTTGGTGTGTATATATATATATATATATATATATATATATATATATATATATATATATATATATATATATTTTATATATATATATTTATATATATATATATATATATATATATATATATATATATAATATATATATATATATATATATATATATATATATATCCGTCGGTGACAGGGGTCTCAGTCCTTTTCTCTCTCTCTCTCCTTTCTCTCTCTCTCTCTCTCTCTCTCTCTCTCTCTCTCTCTCTCTCTCTCTCTCTCTCTCTCTCTATCTCTCTATCTCTCTCTCTCTCTCTCTCTCTCTCTCTCTCTCTCTCTCTCTCCTCTCTCTCTCATCTCTCTCTCTCTCTCTCTCTCTCTCTCCCTCCCTCCCTCCTTCCCATTTTCTTTCACTCTCCCATTCTACCTCCCTATCCCAATCTCTATCCCTCTCTCCGTCCTATTCTTCCTCCCGTTCTCCCTCTCTCCCAGTTGGCAAAACATGCGTGCATAAAGCATCAACATTATCGCCTTCGATAACAGCGAAGAAAACGTACTACGGACAATCAAACCCCCACATTTTAAGGCTTCAAAGGGGTCGTTGGATATCGCAAGATTAACAAATCCTATTGTCTGGAGGGGGGTCGAACCCCTATGACACCTGCCACACTGCCACAAGTCACCATGAAAAGTTGGCTGAGGCTACTGTCTGGCCTCCAGCCTCGATCAGACAGACGGGCAGACATTTATGACTCTCTGCTGGTCTCTTGGTCTCTCTCTCTCTGGTTATCTCTCCCGATTTCTCCAGTTTCTAAAAGAAAGCCATTCGAAAATCCCTCGTTAAAACAACCTCGTTATCTCATTGTGGCTTCCACTCGTGGTGGCTGAGATGAGATGCTGCTCTTGTTAACGAGATGGTCGTGGCGGGTTCGTTAACCTATTTCAACGTAGGAGTTGCAATTAAACTGGGACTTTTGTTAAAATGAGACAGGATATTGGTTTCTATCTCGG